GCACACTTGAGGGAGAGGGGAGTGAGGGAGAGAGTGAGGGTAGTGAAAGGGATGTAGAGGTGAGTGAGGAGGAGAGTGAATGTGATGCTAGAGAGGAGAATGAGAGCAGTATGGAGGATAGTGAGGATGAGAGGGAGGGGAGAGTGAGGAAAAGAGCGAGGATGGGAGTAAGGGGAGCACCACGAGAGAAAGGCAGCAGAGAGATAGGGAGCAGCGAAGGAGAGTGGTAGCGAGGATGAGAGTGAGGGGGAGAGGGAGGAGAGTGAGGAGAGTGAGGAGAATGAGGAGAGTGAAGAGAGTGAGGAGAGTGAGAAGGAGAGTGAGGGCAGTGTTACTGAGAAGGACGGGGTGACCCAAGTTACTCAAAGGAGAGTGAGGGGGAGAGTGAGGGGGAGAGTGAGCACGGGGAGACAGAGACAGAAACCGAGGCAGAGACGGAGATGGAGGGGCGGAGTGAGTTGGTGGGAGGGGAGGCGGACAAAGAGAGCATGGTGACAGACGAGGGGTTGCTTATAGAGGTTGTGAGTGTGGCGAATATGGCGAGGCGGAGTGAGGGGAGGAGCGTGGGGAGGAGTGTGGGGAGGATTGTGGGAGTGAGGAATAATAGCCTGCTGATTAAGGTGGAGAGTGTGGTGGGCATGGAGAGTGTGGTTGGAGGGGAGGGTGTGGTGGGGGGAGGGAGTGTGGTGGGGGTAGGGAGTGTGTATGAAGGGGATGGTGCAGTTTTAGCAGAGGGAGAAGAAGCAAAAGGAGCAGCTGTAGAGGTCGAATGGAGTGAGGTTAGTGAGGAGCGTGAGGGGAGTGAGGGGGATGAGGGGAGTGAGGGGGATGAGGGGAGCAGGTGGAGCGAGCATATGAGTGGCGAGGAGGGATCGGATGATAAAGGGGCCTCTCAAAAGCGGAAGTGAGAGAATGGAAGTTGCGAGTGAGAGGGACGAGAGTCACTAGGAGAGTATTGAGGGTATGTAGAGAGAGAGGGGGGGGGGACGAGATTGAGTGTGACGGTGAGTTGGGTGATAGTTTTGACGAAGGTGAGAGTGAACACGAGGAGGGAGTGATTGTTGGTGGGCTCGTAGAGGTAATGCCAGAGGGTGCACGCGGGGCTGATGCTCTGGAAGCGGCAACAATGGCAGGAACAACTACAGCAACCGTAGCAGGAACATCAGCAGAAGCAGAAGTGCTTGTGTCAGTGGCACCTGAAGAAGACGTGAAGTCTGGCGAACCAGCTGACTCTGCAGTGACACCAGCGGCAGCTGCAGCAGCAACACTAGCAGCAATGGAGGGTGCAATGGAAAAAACACTAGGCCATAAAGCACTTAGCTTTGATTACCAAGTGTTATGCGGCGTAAACAACAAGAATCGAGAGTTGATATCATTGAGGAAGAGAATACAATAAGCAAGATCAGAACAACCCCCTAAGCTAGAACATAAATAGGCACGAAGCATACAGTCAAGCACGACATACATGGCTGATTTTATCATACTATTTTAGTCTGATTGTCTGAAATTTCAGACTTTGGCCGATCCTGATTTTTCAGACTTGCCATTTTTTTAATGTTGAACCCTTCAGAGTTATATGTTTTTGAATCCTGAGAATCTCAGACTTCGCAGTTTGCGGATACTGAGTTTTCAGAGCGCAGCGCGTACGGACCCTGAGACACACATACCAGTACTGCACCTACCTGCCCTCACCCAAAACTTTTGTCTAAGTCCCCAAGTGCCAGAGTCAAGTCCTTTCACACACACCCCGCCCCGCAACCTAAAAAGTCCGGCTAAGTCCTAGCAGCCAGAGACAGTTCCCCCCAGCACATTTCTTCCCTACTCGCCTCGCAGCCCCAGAAATTCGACCAAGTCCCCACAGACAGACACATCCCTCCCACACCCCCTGCGACCCTGAAATTTCGGCTAAGTCCCCACAGCAATAAATATCCCTCCCTCAGCTCCCGCAACCCGAAAAATTCGGCTAAGTCCCTTGCAGCCGTAAAAAAAATCCTCCCACAAACCCCCGCAACCCGCAATCCTGCTTATTACCCGACTTTTATGAAGTTCCTAAAAGGGGTAACAAGAAAATCATTCATCTGGCTGGCGATTTTTTCTTTTCTTTTTTGATTTCTCAGGCAATGTGAAACTAACTCTAAAAAATCACACTGTCCATGGATCAATTGAGGGAGTGTTTTTTCCAACGCGACACTTTCAGGCAACTTCGTATTATTGCTGATTTTGTAGTCAAATTTGCCCGTCAATAAATGTTTTGATACAAAGTGTCGTGACGTTGTGCCGTGTAGGAACAGGCCCTGAGGGACAGAATTCGAAAAGGAGGGGAGGGGGAATCGAATTCGAGGGGGAAAGGGGGAGGGAATCAAAACCGAGGGGAGGGGTGAAGCGAAACGGAGGGGAGGGGGGGGGGGGAGGAGGGAGGGGGAACGAAACGGAGGGGAGGGGGGGGGAGGGGGTCGAGACGGAGGGGAGGCGTGGAAGCGAAACTGAGGGGAAGGGGGAAGCGAAACGGAGAGGGAGGGGGGGAGGGGGGGGTTCGAAAATAGAGGGGGAGGGGGGAGGATCGAAACGGGGGGCAGGCGAGAAGCTGTGGAATTGGGTGATGGGAGAAACTTCACGCCATTGCAGCGCCCCGGTTGATCGATCGTGGACGTTTATCACCTGCGACCATCGAATGGTTAAAAAGCGTCGAAACGATCGTGACCGTTACGTTTTTATAGATTTTTTTGTTGACCAAACAGGCAGGTGTCGAGAATTTCGCCTAATAGGAACGACTGTTATTAGAATGCGAAATTCACTCTTAGTCGAATGCAACTAAAAAAAGAAGAATGTGAAATCCTCTCTTCTAGTTGCCAAATCAGTTTTTTCTTTTGTACACGCCCTAATGAAAAGGCAGACTTTTGCTATGAAACACTGATGAATCTGTTAAAATTATATAAGTTATAATTTATATAGGCTTGGTAGGTTGTTACTGACCCTTTTCTGTAGAGGGTACAAACCCCTCCTTGTACTCCTCTCTCTTCCTAATCCAACTCTCTTTTCTTCTCCTCAACTTTCCTAGCACCTAAAACCTCTCGCCATTCTCATGGCTCCTCCTAGCTCCTAGCTAAACCTTGTGCCATTCTATGGCTTCCTAGCTAAGCTAGTCTTTTGACATGGTATCAGAGCAGTTCGTTCCGTGTGGGCCTGCTCCTCGCGTTTCCGCTGCGTGCTCGTTTCTCTCTCTATCTCGCGCTGCCATGGCGGCCGCGTCAAGCTGCTGTGGCCGCGTCGTCGTGCCGCGGCGCCGCCGTCGACGTCCATGGCGGCCGCGTCCAGCTGCTGTGGCCGCGCCGTCGTGCCGCAGCTCCGCCGTCGCGTCAAGATGCTGTCGCGACGTGACGGCGCCGTCACGCTGCCGCGGCGTCTACGCGACAGCGCGCAGTCGGCGTACCGGCGACGTCGTGCTGCCGTCGCAGCGTCGACGCCCCGCTGCGGCATCGACGCCGCTCCATGACGGCGTCGTCGGGCTGCAGCCGGCCGCGTGACGCTTGTGGCGCCGCTAGACCGGCCGCCCGCATGTCAGCCTGTGGCGCCCCCCCCCCCCCCACCCCCCCTCCTTCCCCTGTGCCCTCTTCCATTCCGCAGACGACGGCTGACTCCCGCCGGCCGTCCCACCGTCGCGGGGCCAGGCCACGTCACCGAGAGGTGCGGATGCCGCCGCCGCTGCCGCTGTTGTCGAAGCCGCCGCCGCCGCCGCTGTCGCCGCTTGCGTCGGGGCCACGCAGCCGCACGCCGCCGCCGCCGCCGCTGTCGACACTGCCGCCGCTGCCGCCGTCGCCGCCGCAGCCCCTGCGGTCGACGTCGCCGCCTCACGCGCCGTGGGGTCGACCGACCTAGAGTCGCTGTCACTGTGGCTGGAATGGGGGTGCTAGGTTAGGGGGTGTGGGTGTGTGTGGGTGTGTGACTACCAAGCCTAGGGGGTGTGTTAAAATTATATAAGTTATAATTTATATAGGCTTGGTAGGTTGTTACTGACCCTTTTCTGTAGAGGGTACAAACCCCTCCTTGTACTCCTCTCTCTTCCTAATCCAACTCTCTTTTCTTCTCCTCAACTTTCCTAGCACCTAAAACCTCTCGCCATTCTCATGGCTCCTCCTAGCTCCTAGCTAAACCTTGTGCCATTCTATGGCTTCCTAGCTAAGCTAGTCTTTTGACAGAATCCACGTAAATTTTCTTGACAAAAAACTGATGAATCATGGTACCCTAAAACCAATCGTGGGGCCTGGTGTGAACTCCGAAAATATAAGATTTCGACTTGGGCGCAGGACTCTGAGTCGACATTCTGAACCCAGAGTATTTTATACTCGTTGACTCTTCGACACTGAGATTTCAGAGTAGCGAAATTTAAAAAATGACCCTTCAGACTCGCGAAATTTTTTGGGGGGCAAAATCTGAGTGCCTTTTTTGAAACGTCAGCCCTGACGACATAGCTAGGACCATGGTAGAAAACATGGCTTGGAGAACGAATTTGCTAAATGCGTACGACTCAAGTATGAGCCAGTTTTGGGTGAAGCGGTTTGTATTACGTGGTACAATAGGGTGGCAACCCTGGTATGGTGGTGTACGCTTTACTAAGGTTGAATTATCAATTTCGTACACCTTAGTAGAAGTTACTTCTAAATCTAGTTTAGTTGTGACGCACATTCACTTGTTGTGTTGTCGTGAGGCACATTCACTGCTCAAGGAGGTGATACTAGCGAAAGTCCTACGGATCCCACCAGGATAATTTGCTCCCCAAGGCGATAATTTTCCGACAAGCTGTCCATTTGGATTGGGCTTTGGCTGTTGAATTGTCCCACCATTCGCTGACTGGAGCACACGTCACCATGAGGGTGCCAACACAGCACGCAGATTCCGCGTACAGGAGACGCCTTGACACCATGGGCCACGTGTGCTGGTTTGGCTCTAGTGTTCCTGCTTGCTCAAAGCCAAGAGTGAGCATTTCCCAAGTCTTCGCGCATTCTCGTCTAACAAGAATAAGCCATGGCTGCCACCGCTGCCTCCTCCGCCGTCTCGGCTTCTTCCCCGTGTTGCCTGACCGATCCCAGCAAGCAGCAGATTCGTCGGTATGAGAGGGTTTCCTTTGCTCGTTCACGCTCCTTTCAGAAGCTTTCTCAAGCTATCTCTCGCGGTTCGAGCTCCAGACGGCTCCGAAACAAGGCGAGCATTGTCGCTGCTGTTGGAATCGAGAAGGAAGTTGCCCTGGATGAGATTCCGCTCACACTGTTGAAGGAAGGGGAGGTTCGCGACTGGAGAAAGCCCGACCCATCCAACATGCGTGCTCGCTTTGAGAACCTGGTGCTCAACGCCCAGGATTCCATCATCAAGGCCATCGAGGAGGTTGACGGGAAGAAGTTCCGCAAAGACGCATGGATGAGGTAGGTAACGCGGAAGGAGCAATGACTTCAATTTTTATCTTTCATTGCTTTCTCATTGTAAACCGTTCGTTTAATTCAGACCCGGTGGCGGTGGCGGGATTAGCGGCGTGCTTCAGAACGGCAATGTGTGGGAGAAGGCGGGTGTCAATGTGTCCGTGGTTTACGGCACTATGCCCCGTGAGGCTTATCGTGCTGCCACTGGCGAGTCTGCTCCCTCTGAAGGCAGCTCCACTGGAGATGGACGAATTCCCTTCTTCGCTTGCGGAATTAGCTCTGTAAGAAAATCCACCGTCTTGGTTTGCTTTGCGTTGTATTTTTCCCTCGATTTCTTTCTTCGTTGATATCGTCGCGCCTGAATTCGTCGCGCTCATTTTGTGTGCAGGTCATGCATCCTTGGAATCCATTCGCTCCTACGATGCACTTTAACTATCGATATTTTGAGACCGACGCGCCTGCTGGTGCGTCCATAGCTCGTCTGGATATTAGGGGTTTTTTTGTTTTGTTTTTTTTTAGTTCCCTTCTTTCTTTCCGCTTGGATTAACCGCAATGCCCGCTCACAATGTAGGAGCGAAGGATGCCCCTCGGGCCTGGTGGTTTGGTGGTGGTACGGATATCACTCCCTCGTACCTCTTTGAGGAGGACATGAAGCACTTCCATGGGGTAGCTCTTCTTCCCTCCCCCCCTCCCTCCCCCCCTGCCCTTATTCATTTTTTTTTCTTTAAAAAATCACCGTGCGTGAAGATCTAAAATATCCTGGTTCATTGAGCAGGTGCAAAAGGAGGCATGTGACAAAATCGATTCTTCGTTCTATCCGCGATTCAAGGAGGCATGTGATGAATACTTCCTGATCAAGGTAACAATGGCTTCCAGGTTTGTTTGTTTGTCTGTTATGTTTTTTTTTTTTTTTTTTTTTTTGTTGTTTTTTTTTTTTTGCTTTTACTTTCAATCCAGTTTGTGCTGGTGATGAATCACACGGCTTGAGCTTTCACAGAGAATCTGGCAAGAGTTTATGATTGGATAGATGTAACGAACCAATTTAGATGGCCTTTCCTTTAACGATCTACCGCGGCGAGAAAGCTGGTAGTACTTGCTAGTCCCCCCTCTCCCCCATCCCCCTCTTTCTTTGCCCACCCTCGCCCACCCTTTTCTTCTCCAATCGCACATGTCTCCCCTCTCGATCTCCTCTCCCTTGTGTGCACGCGCATGGGCGTTTATTACGATGATTGTTCTGTGCGCCTCCTTGACATGCAGCACCGTGGTGAGCGACGGGGGTGTGGAGGCATTTTCTACGACGACATGAACCAGCATGATCCTGAGCTGCTCTTCAACCTCGCTAAAGGTACGAGTTTGCGATCATTAAGGGCTAGCATGGCATCCTACCGACAACTCAAGTGGGTCGACTTCCTTGTCCTTCGCAGAGTGCTCGGCTGCAGTGGTCCCTGCATACGTGCCACTCGTGGTGAAGCACAAAGATGCTCCATATACGGAGGAGCAGAAGCAGTGGCAGCAGCTTCGCCGTGGGCGCTATGTTGAATTTAATCTGGTAAGAGACACAGCATCAGCGGGTGGCCAGTTTAGCTAGCATTCCGTGGTACTGTAAGCTGAACTAAACCCTTGTGGTTTTCATGGCTCAGGTGTATGACCGTGGCACAACGTTTGGCCTCAAGACCGGTGGCCGCATCGAGAGCATCCTCATGAGCTTGCCTTTGACTGCGCGATGGGAATACAATCAGGTAAGCAGCTCAGCAGGATTCGTAGTCTGAGATGAAGTGATTGGGTGTAATGATAACTTCCCTCTTGCTTCTACAGGAGCCGGCTGCTGGCACCCCAGAGGCGGAGCTTCTGGATGCTTGCAGGAACCCGAGGCAGTGGGTGTGAGTGGCTGCTGAAGGCTTGGAGGCGGTTGAACTTAGTGCAGATAAGCTGGGAATGTTGCAAGAAGGAGATCGTTTCACATTCTTTACAACACAGCAGATTTCCTAAATGATGGAGTACTACCTACAGCTGATGAGCAAAACAAAAGTTACGGAAACGAGGAGAGTGTCACTAGCCCGCTGTATGAAATGGTTGCTCCTCATAATGGTTTGAGAAAAACCCCACCTGACTGTAAGCAGACTAACTTAGCTAGGAAGCTAGGTGGCCATGTAATGGCTAAAGGTTTAGGAGCTAGGAGAAAAGTAATGAGAGAAAAAAGAGTCAAACTAGAAAGAGAGGGATACAAGGAAGTGATTGTTAGAGAGAATGAGTGGACTATGTCAGAAAGTAGAACTAGACTAGGAGGTAGTGCAGACCGCCATGAAAGTGGCGGCGGGGTTTAGCTAGGAGATAGGTGAGAGTGTTGAGAGAAGAAGTGTTGGACTAGGAAGAGAGGTATACAAGAAAGGGTTTGTACCCTCTACAGAAAGGTTCAGTAACAACCTACCAAGCCTATATAAATTATAACTTAGATAATTTTAACACACCCCCTAGGCTTGGTAGTGTCAAGCCCACTCACACACACACCCCCACACCCCCTAACTAAACACCCATGCCCAGCAGCAGCTGAGATGCCGTCGGGACTGGTCCAGTCCCACGGCCCGGGAGACGGTTATAGCGGCAGTTGTCAATTTATACATATTGGCTATGTAGAAGTTATAGGTGTCAAACATGTGTAGTTGTTATGTTTGCATAGACTGTATAGGGTCACCTCTTAGAGGGTACAACACTTAGGTATATCTATCTGTACTCTCCCACTAGTCATTATTCACTACTCTTAGTTTAATATGGTATCATGCGTAGGTTAGGATCCCCCCACCTACCGCTTCCGCTCGTTCCCTAGCTAGGCCCCGCCGCGCCTCCCCCCCCCTCTGGGCCCCGTCATGCCCCTCGCCTAGCCCCGTCGCGACCCCCTAGCCCCGTCGCGACCCCCTGGGCCCCGTCGTGCCCCTAGCCCTGCCGCGCCCCTCCTGGGCCCCGTCGCGACCCCCTAGCCTCGTCGCGACCCCCCTAGCCCCGTTGCGACCCTCTAGCCCCGTCGCGACCCCCTGGGCCCCGTCGCGACCCCCTAGCCCCGACGCGACCCCCTGTGCCCGTCGTGCCCCTAGCCCTGCCGCGCCCCTCCTGGGCCCCGTCGCGACCCCCTAGCCCCATTGTGACCCTCCCGGGCCCCGCTGCGCCCCTCGCCCTGTAGCGCCCCTCCTGGGCCCCGTAGCGCCCCTCCTGGGCCCCGTAGCGCCCCTCCTGGGCCCCGTAGTGCCCCTCCTGGGCCCCGTCACGCCTTCAGGCCCCGTTGCCCCCTGCCCGGCCCCGTTGCGCCCGCCCGGCCCTGTTGCGCCCGCCCGGCCCCTTCGCACCCGCCCGGCCCTGTCGCACCCGGCCGGCCCCGTTGCATCCGCTCGGCCCCGTTGCGCCCTGCCCGGCCCCGTCGCGCCCGCCCGGCCCCGTCGCACCCGCCCGGCCCCGTCGCACCCGCCCGGCCCCATCGCACCCGCCCGGCCACGTCGCACCCGCCCGGCCCCGTTGCGCCCTGCACGGCCCCGTCGCGCCCGCCCGGCCCCGTCGCACCCGCCCGGCCCCGTTGCGCCCTGCCCGGCCCCGTCGCGCCCGCTCGGCCCCGTCGCGCTCTCCGGGCCCTGTCGCGCCCTGCCTCGCCCCGCCGTGCCCTGCCTGGCCCTACCACGCCCGCCCGGCCCCGCCGCACCGGCCCGGCCTCTGCGCTCATCCCTGCCCCGGCCCCTGCATCCTCACTGGTACGGTTCCCCCCTCCCTGCACCGCCCTGCACTGCCCTGCATTGCACTGCACCGACCTGCACCGCCCTGTACCGCCCTGCACCGCCCTACATCGCACTGCACAGCACTGCACCGCCCTGCACTGCCCTGCTTTGCCCTGCACCGCACTGCACCGCACTGTCCTGTCCTGCACTGCCCCTGATGGCGGCGGAACTTCGGTTCGACGCTGAAGGCCAGCCTCTGGAGTTCGAGGCTTGGCTTGCCGACCTCCGGCGCCAACTCACTGGCCATCGGCAGGATGGTGAACCGCTTTCCGCACACCTTGACGCTACGCTCCCCTGCCCAGACCCCCCTGCTGTTCTGCCCGCTGACCCCACACCCACTGAGCGCGAGTCTACTGCTGCCACTGCCCGTGCGCGCTCTGTCTGGTTTTCTCGAGATGCTGTCGCTCAGCTTGCCATTAGCAACGCCCTTCCCCCGTCCGAGCGCCCTCGTTTTAGGTCCCTCACTACTGCTCAGGCTTACTTAGATGCTGTCATCAAGCGCTATTCCACCCCTCCGGCTGCCTCGGTGGGTCGCCTGATCCTCCCGATGCTCTTTTCTGACCTTGCGTCTTTCCCCACTGTCTCTGACCTCGCCGCCCACCTGCGCTCGATAGATGAGACTTGGCGCGCTGCCTGCACTGACGCACAGCTTAGAGCCCACCGGCCGCCCATTACCTCTACCCTTTACCTGCTTGCCACCTGCCTCCCTGACCACCTTGCTGTCGCCCGTGACCGCTTCCTTAGCATTCACCCCGGTGAGCTCACCCTCACTGACTTTGTAGACACCCTGACTGTGATTGAGACCCGCCACCGCTCCATCGCCCAGGCGAG